ACTCCCCCCCCCCCCCGCCAGGAGAAATGGCCATACTGCAATGCCCTCTCCTCTATTGTCTTTTTAGGATCTTAGGCACATACATGCGACTGGTGTGAGTTTTTAAGTTGCTGGTCCAGGACTTGAACTGTGGTCAACGATGTGGGAGTTCAGCAATGCAACCATTACGCTATCTGCTGGTCTCAACCACTGTATTTAAGAACTGGGAAGTAAAAAACTTCCTAAGATTTGTTTTGGTTTTAATTTTGTCCAAAGGTTCTTGAATATATTTTAAGCCCATGGCATGGTGATTAAAGCAGCTGGATCCCACATAACTGACTGCATGATTGAGTCCCTGGACAGCTGGCTTGAAAACCATGCTGGGAGCATGCGCATGTGTGCCCCAAATCCCAAAAGGTGGGAGAAATGGAGGAGAAGGGATTATCGTATGACCATCCCCCCCGGGGGTGCTTTCTCACTTTTGCTCTTTGTCTCTCTCCAGTGATTGCATGTGCCCTCAGGCAAAAACTGAAACAAACAAACAAAAAGTGGGGCTGACAGGCGGTTAAGGTACTGGACTCCCACATGGCTGACCATGGTTCCAGTCTCCTGGTGACTTGTTTTCTCACTTTCCCATGCTCTCTCTCTCTGGTCAAATTAAAAAATAATAATAAATTAAATTAAATATTTTTTAAAAGAAAAGAAAAAAAACAAAGTAATACTTGACAACTTTAATACATGTTATCAGTTCTTCTAAATACATTTGGCACTTACCCAAGGATCCCTCCAGTAACAAACACAATGACAATGTATCCAAGATCCAATGTGAAGGTAAATATAAGCATTCCAATAAAAGACAAAATGTAAACTATCAGCGTAGTCTGTCTAAAACAAAAATGACAAAATTAGTATTTTGTTTGATTATCCTAGGCATATACAAATCTGGTGACTTACCACTGCTCTGTCTCTATAGTAATAAATCTATGTCTTTTAAAATCTGTCCCTTCTCTTGTCTATGGAAAATGTATTCACCAAAGCATGAACTTGAAAGATTAAGACTTGGGACCAGCAGATGGCATATGGACTCCCATGTTGTTGACCATCATTCGATTCCAGTAGCTTAAATGTGTGCGTGCGTGCCCAAGATCCCAAGAAGAGAACGGAGGAAAAGGGATTGCGGTTTGGCCATCCCCCCTGGGGGGTGGTTTCTCGCTTTCTGTCTCTCTGTCTCTCTCTGTCTGTCTGGCGAGTGCACGCGCCCTATAGCGAAAATCTCTCAAAAAAAAAAAAAAAAGTACTTTGGACCCTGAAAGGTGCATATGATACAGTTTCATATTTCTTTCTTTCATTTTACTGAGTCCCAATCATGTATTCATTCACAGTCCTATCCATCCACTTCCCCATGTAGATGGGGAAGTATCAGCCTATTGAAATGAGGCTATTGTTTTAAGGCTCAGAACAAAGAATGCTTCCTCTGAAACCTCTTTCTCAGTCTCCCAGTTGGTATCAGCCATTTTTTCTTTTATATTAGTATTTTGTTGGTTCCACATAGATGCACAATTAATAGAGCATTTTCATAGTACGCATTCTATTATAAAGTGATGCTGTAGTTTGGGAGCATTTTCTACTTTTTTTTTTTTTGTACCTTTAAAAGATATGCCCAAGAATAATATTTTGATAGGAAAGAACAACTTTCTGCTTGTTGGTAAGCCTACAACATATCAACAAAAACAAGATAAAATGTCGGTTAAAAGTCAAATGTTTCTCAAAAAGTGTTCATTTTAGAATAGAAAGATCCCTTTTGGCCCCAGCTGCTGTGACACAGTGATAATGCAACTGCTCTCCAAGGGTGAAAGCCATGTGGCCAACCGTGGGTTCAAATCACCAGGTCAGCCTGAAAACATGCTGGGTACACATGTAAGTGGCCAGGATCCTGAGGAGTCGGAGGGGAAGGATGGTATGAGAGCCTGCTAGGGTGCTTCTCTTGCTCTCTCATTTTGGTCCATGTGTGCATTACACATTTTCTATAATTAAAAAAAAGGTGGAAAGAAATATTCCTCCGAAGTGGTTTATATGAGTATTAGTAGAGGAAAAGATTTATAAGATATCCAAATTGCCAAAGGTTTAATAAATATCACCGATAAAATAAGACAATACACAGACTATTGAAACATTCAGAAAATGAAGGAAACCTAAGAATGTTTAGAATCCAAGTGTTTAAGTAATAACAACACTTTTTCAATTTCTTAAAATTTGTTTACTTATTTTTTGTGATTTGCCAGAAGGTGGGTGTGCTTGCTGGAGAGAGACAGAGGAAAAGTGAAAAAGTTTCCCCACGGGGGATGGTTCTGCTGTAATCCCTTCTCCATTTCTCCTTTGAAGGATGTGGCACTCAGGCCCATGCCCCAAGGGTCTCCTTCAAGCCACTGGGTCTGGCCATGTGGGATTCAGCTCCCTCAACCATCACTGGCAAGGCCAAATTTCTTAAAAAGTTAAATGAGGCCAGCAAGTGTATGGTGGTTAAGGTGTTGGACTCTCACGTGGTCGACTGCAGTTTGAATCCCAGACCCAGTGGCTTAAAAATCATGCTGGGCGTGTGTGTGAGCATCCCCAAAATCCTAGGAAGGAAATGAAAGAGAAGGGATTGCCTCGTGGTCATAACCCCTAGGGAGTGATTTCTCACTTTCCCTCTCACTGTCTCTCTGTTGGTTTCTCTCTGGCAAGTGCAAGCACCCTATGACAAAAACCTTAAAAAAAAAAAAAAGAATAGACAAGAAAAAGGAAAGTTTCCTTTACAACCAAAATACCAGACTGGTCTGAGGTATATTTCATGTTGAATAAATTCTCTCTACAAGCTAAATGATGTATAGAGATTGAATGTATAAAATAATAATAATAAAATTAAAAAACAAACTCAAAATACCTTTGATTATATCCCATTTACCTTTCTACTTTCACTTACTTGTACGTTTTGGTGTAATCCAGCCATAAACCACAAAGAATAGAGTTTTTTTGCTACCACCAGTGTTAGCCCAATCCTCCCAGCATTCACTTCTTCTCCCTGAAAGTAATTTGCATAGGAAGTCAATCAGATAGCTCTATTTCAGGTAGATCGTTCAAACTCTCATCCTTTTTCACAATCAATGGAAATAATCAGATAACATTAAATGTACATTGAATAGGAAGATTCAGTACCCAGCTATTCCTCACTTAACCTACCTGTTTAACTCTGACCAGTTCTCCAGCCCGGCAACCTCCTTTCTCAGTCTGTGTGCGTCATGGGAATGTCTTTCTCAGTCTCTGTCCCTTAGTCAGTTAGTATTCACTACATGAAGCCTTTGCAATCACACAAAACTACATATTTCGTTTATAAATCTGTACTTTATTGTGCACCGATAGTAGTATTTGGAATAAATAACAACAACTAGGATGGATTTATATGACTGTGTTGTGGTGTGTCTTGTTGCTTTCTAGTGATTGTCTGATGTATACTTTTTGTATGGATAGAATTACATTATTCTACTGCGGTATTGCCTGATATCTCATGAAAAGCATATACCCTCTGGTGCCACAACATGCCACATGAAAGCACCTCTCTTATCAACCAAGTTGCTTAATGACCTTGTCTCATAGGCTCAGAACTTGGTCATTAAGTGAGGAGTGCCTGCACGGATTAGGATGGAGAGGGGTTGGTAAAATATATATATATGTACATCTTTTATAGCAAGAAGGTCATAATTCTTATTTTATGATCATAGTAACAGGAATTATATTGTTCCAGAAAAATTATTGGTAAGACATACAATACAATATAGGCGGATGCTTACCTTATAATGTGTCAATATCATCTGATTTAATAATGTGGAGACCGAATAAAAAGCTCCAGTCATGATACCTATGACAATAAAGAGCAAGTTATAACTGTATCGTCTGCCAAATCACTGGGTGATATGGAGTACTATGTAACAATTGTGAAATGTAATGCATTTCTCAGACAGCTGAAGAAAGTTGAAACATGGTACTCCCTTTTTAGAATGTATGTTGATCAATTCACCTAAATTTACTAGAAATAATGATAGAATTCTGTGATAACATTATTATTACTTATATTCAGATCATAAATCATATCCCTACATGTAACACTGTATATGGCAACCAATCCAGCAATGGATTATTTACGGAGCACCTACTATGTACAAGGGTCTTCAAAGGTGTATGAAAAATGTGTATTATGAAAAAACTATGTATGGACTTCAAAATTTGCACTAAAATAAATTTGTACTTCACATGTGTATGCGAGAGAGAGAAAGAAGTATCCTTAATAGGGTCTTGTCATGCTGTAATCCTCTTTTTCCTGCCCTCCAGCCTGTCAGGATCTTGGGCATGTGCTGGGTATGTTTTCAGACCAACCCAGGGATCCAAGTCTATGGTCAGCCTGTGGCTTCCAGTACTGCAATATAGTTCACTTCTCTCTCTCTCTCTCTTTTTTTTTTTTTTTTGGAGAGGTTTTTGCTATAGGGCGCGTGCGCTCGCCAGACAGACAGAGAGAGACAGAGAGACAGAAAGTGAGAAGAGAAATCCCCCCCCAGAGGGGATGGCCACACCACGATCCCTTCTCCTCCATTGTCCTCTCGGAATCTTGGGCACACACGCACATGCGCCCGGTGTGAGTTTAAGCCACCGGGTCCAGGACTCGAACCACGGTTAACTATGTGGGAGTCCAGTGACATAGCCATTATGCTAACTGCTGGTCCCAATATAGTTCACTTCTGACTGTGCCTTCAGGCTGGGTTCCATGAACTGCTTCAAGTCCTCTCACACTCTACCCAGTGAATGTTAAAAGCATCACATAATCTTGGCTACAGAGATATTAACCTTGCAGCAAAGACTTACAAGGCAATTAGTAAAGACAGTATTAACTGAATACTTAAAAAGAGAAAAATAAAAACAGCTGGTTATCAGTCACATGACTAGTTTGAACCTTGGTATTTCTTTGGATATACTGAAGAAAACTTCACCTAGCCAAGACTTAAGTTATTATTTCTCTTTCTTTTAAATAATTATTTAATTTTATTTATTCATTCATTTCTTTTAATTTGACCAGAGAGAGAGAGAGAGATATAGAGAGAAAATGAGAAAGCAAGCCTCCAGGTCCAGTACTCGAACCGTGGTCAGCCATGTGGGAGTGTCCAGCACCTTAACCACCATGCCACCTGCTGGTCCCCTCTCTCTTTCTTTACTATTAAATATTTTAAGCACACAAAATCTATAGAGATAAATATAATAAATATCCTTAATCATCACCCAGCTTCACCAGACATTAACATTTTGCCATCTTTGTTTCAGATTCCGACATTTTTTTTTCTGCCATAGGGTGTGTATGTTCACCAGAGAGACAAAGATAGAGACAGGGAAAGTGAGAAATCCTTGCCTCATCTCCCACCCCCAGGGAAATGGCCACACTACAATCCCTGCTACTCTAGGCTCCCTTCAGGATTTTGGGTATGCATGCATATGTACCTGGCATGATTTTCAAACTGCTGGGTCCAGGACTCAAATCATAGTTAACCAAGTGGCAGTCCAGTGCCTTAACCTCTCTGCCACCTACTAATCCTATTTTTCAGACTTTTTTCAATTCTATTCTTTTTCTTTTCCCAAAGTCAATCCCTATCCTGAGCTTGGTGTTTATCATTTTATCTATTGACATATATGCATGTCTACAGACAATTAGAGTCATTCAAGTATTTAAACTTTATATAAATAATATATTATTTGTATCTATTTGCAACTTGTCCTTATCACTCAGTATTAGTTTTGAGATTTATGCATGTTGATACTTTTGTTTTAGTTCATTTTTTTCTGCATAATATTCCATTGTATGACATACTTCAATTTAATCACCTCTTAATGTTTCTATAAACAATTAAGAGTTTTTGGGGACCAGCAGGTGGCGTGGTTATTAGGGTGCTGGATGCTCCCATGTGGCTGACCATGGTTTGAGTCCTGGATCTGGTGGCTTGCTTTCTCACCTTCTCTCTCTCTCTGTGTGTCTCTCTCTAATCAAATTAAAAAAAAAAAGAATGAATAAATAAAGTTAAATAAATAATTTTTTTTTAATTAAGAGTTTTTTCCCTAGTTTTTTGTTATTTAAAACAAGAGTGCAATGAAAGCTTATAATAGCTTCTCTAAGTATATGAATCATCTTTGGAAAGTTCCTGGAAAGTGCATATTATGAAAAAAACTATGCATGGATTTAAAAATTTTTTTTTCCATCAAAATAAACTTGTACTGTAATTCCATTTTACCACAAACTTTCTGAAGTACCCTTGTAAATCTAAGAGTAGAACTTCTACTTTCTTTCTTTCTTTCTTTTTTTGGAGAGGTTTTTGCTATAGGGCACATGCGCTCACCAGAAAGACAGAGACAGAGAGACAGAAAGTGAGAAATCACCCCCTGGGGGGATGGCCACATCGCAATCCCTTCTCCTCTATTCTCCTCTTGGGATCTTGGGCACACACGCCCATGTGTCTGGTGTGAGTTTAAGCCACTGGGTCCAGGACTTGAACCGAGGTTGACTACATGGGAGTCTGGCAACGTAGGCATTACACCATCTGCTGGTCCCTAGAACTCCTACTTTATAAATAGAACCAAATTGCTCTTCAAAATAGCTCTATTTGTACTACCAACAGAATTCCTAATCCTCCACATCCCTGCCAAATTTGTTTAGAACATATTTAAAGAAACATTTTTTCCAATCTGAATGCACGTTATTGTATCTTACCCTGATTTTGATTTGCATTTCTTTGGTTATTTGTAAGTAAGATTCATATATGAACAATGCACACACACAAATGTCTTCTGGTTTCTTAGACTGTTCGGTCTTTTCTTATTATAGAAGCTTTTGTTTTCGTTTTGTTTTGGCCAGAGATCATGTGTATTTGCCAGAGAGAGACACAGAGGAAGAGTTAAGGAGAGAGAAAGCCCTCCAATGGGCCATGTGACTGACAGAGCAGAAGAGGCACTCCCTGTTTTCTGCCTTCACAGTCGCAGACGCAGGGA